GCCATGTATGAAAACACTGGATAAAAGTTATCATGTAGGAAACTTGTGGTTGATAAAAAGGGGAGAGAGAGCAAGAAGGGAAAAGCAAGAAAAATGGGAAGTTTCCTAAATGTCTCTTAATTTTGCAATATTTGAAAAGGGTTTTGCGTATCCAATTTTAAACAATCACGGTGTACCTCCAAATTTTATAACAGGATGTAACTTTGTTGTCAAAAATTCCTAGGATGCCCTAGGAATCTATTTTCATATTTAATAATAAAACTTTAAGCTCCCAAAATTGTTCAAATCAGATATATCTATAAACACATGAAAATCGTGAAAATGGACGGTTCTGATGATATGTTGCAAGATGCATTATTTCTGGGATTTGAAAATCTTTTTTTTTTTTGTCATTTCTATGTATCTTAATATCAAGATGATCAATTATAGGGTTTTCCGACATCCAAACAACCTTTTTTCCGATGGATTTTTGAAATGCACCTTAATTCTACAGTTTAAGGTTACGCCCTTATATTTCCATTTAAAAATGGGTGTGATTTGCGTAAGGTTGAAACCTTAAACAATCAAAGTAAAATGCACCTCCAAACTTAGTCATAAGATGCAATTTTGGAGTCTAAAATTCTTGTGATAACCTGAAAATCTATTTTCATCTTTAATTTTAACATTTTAACTACTAAAAATGGTTCAAATTTGTTGGAAAATTCGGTTGGGTGAATAAGGGGCAAAAATAAAGTCAAAACAGTCGAATTTAATGCATGCATAGCGCTTTTTCATTACGATAATTATGGGTGAATGCAAAGAGGCTGTCGGGACTTCTTTTTGCACCTTAATGGTATCTTAGCCATTTAGATTTTTTCAAAATATTTTTTCGTTCTTTTTACAAGTGTACGGGGGTGAGAAATATACAATCCAATGTATAGCATAAAATAAAATTGAGATAATCAGATATGTTCTCAACCATCTATTCTGTGGTGACCAACAATCACATGATTTTCTTTTTTATGTGATCTAGACTGTACATTTTGTTTGACATACTGTGATATCACATTCTTAATGACAAAACTTTAGTAAATGGACAAAATTGGTTAATAGTCAGACCTTCAAGTTTCCAAAATCCTATGTTCGAACAAATACAAGTTCCTAGACTTCCTAGAATTCTAGACATGTTATAACACAAAATATTTGTTAGTTCTTGACAACAACATATCCAACTTCTAGAAGTTTAGAACTTCTATTTCCCAAAGAACTTTCAGTTTCCATTTATCAAACAAGCCCTTAGTGAAATCTCAGTTTAGAGCTTGAAGTTCGAAACTGTTTCACTTAGGAAAGAGTTGCTTAGGAATTTCAGTTTCCTCACCGATCTATCAATCAAAAGAAGAAAAATATCTCAGTTCACAACTTGAAGATCCGCACCAAGGGCATTTTCCTAAAAACAAGAAAAGTCAAAAGCATCTAATGGACATTTTTCAAATCCGGCAAAAATAAAAGGATATTTATGAAAATTTCCCTAAGAAAAGATACAACAGTACATTTTTTAGATCTTATTTTCGTGGCATGGTTTTGGAAATAGCAGCCAACTTTTCTTAATCATTATGAGACAAATGGCTGTCATTTTTTAAGAAAATATCAATTTTGTTAGGATCCGAGAACCATCTTATATACAAAAACAATAATCTCAAAAATTGGATTCCACGATTGTATAATTAACAGGTTAGAAACAAAATCAACGAGAATACAAGCTATAATACAAACATGAGAAATAATACATGAAAACACACACGACCCCAAAGGAGTTATATCCACAGATATAGCAAATTGATCTTCACTATGTCAATGAAAGTTACAGTTACATGTAAGACTTTAGAACACAGAGATACCTCTCTAACAATTGACAAAACCCAAATCGAGCAAACCTTTTACAAATTAAATTCCACCCTGCCATATGAAATTTCTTCTTCTGTCATGCACCATGCACCAGTCTGTAGAAAATTTCTCATCATTGGCTTAAACTTCTTAACTAGTGTATTGGGTGCTCAGAAGTAATAAATTGGTAGATTTGCTGAGGCAGCTTTAACAAGAGGGACTCTACTTTCAAAGGACAAATATCGAGTTTCAAGGATCCAATTTTCTGAAATCGATCAATGATTAGCTCAAGATGGCCCTATTTTCTAGCAATCCCTAAATACATTGATGGAAGGGTATTTGTGCCACATCCAAACTATTGTGCATAAGCAGCAATCTAAGTGTTTAAGAACACTAAAATACTAAAAAATGTACCCTTCGGAATTGCTCTTTACCTGTGGGAGTAAGTTTATAATATGTTACCATGGCGGTACGCCACACGCACTCTTGAATAAATATATAAATTTATGAGAGATCGATTCTTTTATAGGATAAATAAGGTTATTAATTTGGGTATCTTTCCAAGGAAACTTTAGTTGTAGTATACTGTATTTTTTAGACCTTGTCAGTAAAAACATTTCACTTTGGGCCACACCACCTAGGCATGGAGGCATTTTCGTAAGAAAAATTCTACTGTAAGTCTTCAGACTCATGAGTCCATCTATGGTTTTTACACATTTAGGATGTAAAGGACATCTTAAATATCTAGAAATGGTGCAAAAGCTTTTGATATGAGAAGAAGATGGTGCAAAACCTGATGACCTGTGAAGAAGCAAAAATGAATGGAGCAAATATCAAAAGTTTATAAATATTTATAGTCTTAAATGTTTTTAATAATTTAAATATTAATTATTTATCGAGATTCATGATTATCATGGTCGTGATTGTAATACATCTCTAAAAGTTTTGGGAGAGACGTATATAAAAGGTGTATCCGCTGATGCACCAAAACATCGCCCTTTTCTAAAGGCGCTTAGCTCATTGCAGAGCCGATAAACTTGTACATAAATTTTTTTAGCTAACAAAAGCTATACAAGAACAGGCTGCAATGGGCTGATTGTATTTGGCTCGGCCCATCTGGGTCTTAAAAAAACTAGACCTTGGGTTACATGTGGCCTAAGTGATAGACCACGGTTGGGCACCAAAACCCAAGGACAAGCCTAGGCTAGGCAGGACCCCAGCCTAAGCCTAGACTGCGACAGGGCCGCCCTAGAACAGTCCCCCAACCCTTTTTTCTTTTCTTTTTTTCTTTTCTTTTGTCTTTTATCTACTTTGATTTTACCGGGCCAAGACCTCTTCAACTGGACCGGGCAGAGCAAGGCTAGGTTTTGTGGGCAGCGCCTACAAGGATTAAGACCATTGCTGGCCCAATCCATTTTATACTATTAATTTATTTATTTATTTTAAAATATTTCTCCGACACATTGCTAATTGATGACATTTACCTACTCTCGAAAATGACTATAAACATATTGAAAAAGGAAAAACTTAATTGGTCCTTCATAACCTGGTTTATGAAAAACTAGCAAATGCTTTTCAACTAGCGATAACGACGGTCAACTGACTAAGGTCTAGTTCGGAAGGACCGATTATTCTTGTTTATTTCTCACACTTGTGGTGAAAAATAAAGAGGTTATATCTAATCTGCTACACTTTATTTTAAGTATTTTTTTTTGTAACCTCCTATACTAAAAATAAATGGTCTTTTCATATATCTTTTTTTTAAAAAATGACGAAATCTAGATTAAGTAATTTTAATAAAAATGACGAGATCTAGATTAAGTAATTCTAATCCATATCGTATTGAATTGTTAAGTAATCCGAGTTTGTGACCCCTAAAATAGCCCACTTCCCACCCATTTTTCATTTTTTTAAATTATTCTCTATCCGAATTTCGTGATTCAGCTAATCCAGATTCGTCTACCATATAGCTAATCCATAACCTGGCTTCAGGAGTTAATACACAGATTTTAAAACGCTTATACACAGCTTGGCCACAAATAAGCGGGCATAAAAGTTGGCAAAATTACAAATTCTCCCAATTCCCAAATATATGAGAAACGCTAGAAGTAGCATGGTCCGCTTCATTCTAAACCTGGTGAACGCGGCTGTGAGTCCAGTAGATCGATTAGTATAGTTTCAACTGGCCTTTATAGGGGTGGCGTTGGTCGGGTTGGATCCAAGTCGACCCAAACTTGGACCCGACTTGATTTGGTTTTATCTGGAACCGGTTTTAGATCTTCATCATCATTTTAGCATTTTTCTAATTACTCGATTTTAGATATTAACAAAAATTAGATATTACAATATATGTATTTGTATGTATTTTATATCAGGTCAGGTTGGGTCGGGTCGTGTCCGACATGGACTCCACCTAGCCTGATGATGCATACCGAACCTAGGCCCTACCCACCGGGTCCAAAACATGGACCCAGGACCACTAGGCCATTGACTGGTTGAGGCATATGTGTAGGTGCCTCTAAATTAGCCTCCTCTTAAGAAACACCGCCCTCTTTCTTTTCATCAAGGGCAGCAATAGGACAGCCTTGGGCCAAGGTAGGGTTGGCACAAGTTGGGCCTGGGACCTTAGGGGCTAGGCAACCTCCATGAGGGCCTATCCCAAGCCTGACCCGACCTCTTGGCCAGGTGACCGGGCCTGGCCCTATTAGTGGTTCATGCTAGACCGGGTCTATTTCAAATTTACGGTACATCCATGAAACCTTAGCAAAGTTAGGGTAAGAGCTGTCATCACCGTTCAAACAATAAATGGGCAGTGATGGGTAGCGATTACAATCTTCACAACCATAGTAGCAAGTCCCCCCACCACTGTCCATCCATCAATGAAAATGGTTAAAAAAACTTATAGCCATAGATTCTATGGGAAATTGCATCATAGAAGTCTTTTCGAAAAGAAATCAAACTTCAATACATGGGAAGAGATGCACCAGGGAAGTCTCACGAAGAGATACCTAAATTTCTTCTTTTTTTTTTTTTTGGTGGGAAAAAGCCCTTTATCCGTTTTCATTAATAAAAAAAAAAAAATACATATTACATTTTTACAACCTTACAATAAGGAAGAAATTGCCCCATTTCTTGTCCCTAAAGCAAAAGGTCATCAAACCCATGTCCATCATATTTATAAGAGGTAGCCATTTGAATCAATACCTTAGCAACCTGAGTGATGAACATTCTTATTATCTTGCACTTACATAGGATGATGGAGGTTGATCAACTTCAATAATGCCTTCTAACATGAGAATAACGATCTTCATGGATGGTCTCATAGATGGGTCATCTTGAATACACCACAATCCCACCTTCACCATCCTTACAACTTGTTCTAAATCACCGAGTGCTTCATCCTCTCCCTCTATCAGCATATGCACCTTCCCTTCACAGAAGCGATCGTAAACCCAATCTGATAAGATCACTTGTCTCTCGTCATCTTGACCCAAATCCATCCTCTTCCTACAGCATATGATTTCAAGCAACATTATACCGAAGCTGTAAACATCAACCTTGGCAGTGATTGAAACATTTCGAAACCACTCCGGAGCAACATAACCCCTCGTTCCCCTAATATCTGTGTCAGTTCGGGTTTGGTCATGCTGTAAGAGCTTTGCCAACCCAAAGTCAGCTATCTTTGGGATGTTAAACTTGTCAAGAAGTACATTTTGTGGCTTAATGTCGCAATGTATGATCGGTGCTCTACACTCTTCATGTAAATAAGTGATCCCTCTTGCTATCCCCAATGCCAGTTCAACCCTTTCACCCCAACTTGGCCTGATAGAGCTGAAGAGGAAATCCGCTAGGGTACCATTGTGCATGAATTCATAGACGAGAAGCCTATGATCGCTCTCATCACAAAAGCCCAGCAGCTGAACCAAGTTCTTGTGATGGGTCTGGCCAATCACACTTAATTCGGTTCGAAACACCTTTTCCCCTTTTTCCACCACCTTATTCAACTGTTTCACTGCAATTTCAAATTGGTGCCCTAAATCCAATACCCCTTTGTACACAGTCCCAAATGAACCACGCCCAAGAATATCCTTAAACCCATTAGTGGCATCAAATAAATGTTTGTATTTGAATGGTATCAGATTTGATATTGGATTAATCTCTATGGGCTCTACACTACTTGGGACCCTTGGATAACCTGCTCTTTTCTTAAGAATACAAGCAATAACAACCAGAGAAAGTAGGAAAATAATCGCAGAGAAGCCTATGAGAAATTCACTCACCATGATCAAGCTTCGCTGCTGTTGTTTAGCTATCTTCAGCTGCTCGTTCCCATTTGCAACTTTGATGAGAGCCCTTAACCCAATCGTGCGATCTTGCCGACCATCAAGCCAAGGCAACCTCTTCTTATAACAAAAGGAGACTCTATAAACTGCAAGATCACAATTACAGTCTTTCATGCAAGCATCCTTGCAACTCTCTTTATCTGTAGTCAACATTTCATAATCCCCATTAGGCCAATCAACATCCTGTAATTCAACCATTGAGTAGTTTGATGGTGTATAACCTTCACACCCTGTGATAAAATCCTTTTTACACCCACTAAAAGGATAACTGGGATCAAGATAAGAGAACTTGTCAGGGCAAAGGCACTTTGCCTTTTGATCCTGGTCTAAAACACAATAGCCATTGTACCCGCAAACTCCTGGAATCCCACAAGCGCTTTTGTTGCTTGGGGTTGTCGACACCACAGTCCATGACAGGCTACTATCCGGACTCTTTTGACGAGAGTACTGTCGAAAGAACCCATCACTATCGAGTGTCACCCTCTGATAATAATCTTCAGTTGTGTTTACCAAATGAGAAGAAATAATGGAGATTATATGATTTGTCGAGCTCAAGAGGTAGATAGCTCCAGTTTGATTGAACACCAGATAAACGGGCGATTTCGTTCCATCTGTTCCAGTCCAGTAATATGCTCCATTAGGGAAAATAAACCTACGATTCGTCGGGTATAGAACAAGATTGCTATCACTTTGCAACACTAGGGTGAATCTCCCTGTCCTATAATCTCCATCCATGTGATTGGAATACAGAGTAATCTCTTGGGCTAAGTTTTGGCCTGGCAGCAATGTGTCAGATGGATATTCAAAGCTTTGCCATATTACAGATGTGTTAGAGCTCACCAACACAAGATTACCAGTATCAAGCATGGAGCCTGAATTTACCCTATCGGAGCCATTGTATATCCAATTTTGTTGGCCTTGTGAATCTGTAAACCCGACCCAACCATCGATCGTTAGCAGAATTGTTGATCCATTTTTCACCGGTTGATCTCTATTTGCTGACCAAACAAGTGTTTTTTCTGGGATCTTATTGAACCAGATTCCAACAAGAAATTGGCCGCTTCCGATCGGGTAAAACCCGAACGCAAAGTGCCCAGAAGGAGAAGCCCAATATGAGTTGTTTGGAGACGAAGATAGAAGAGTGGTTCCTAGAGACATGTTTTGATTAGATTGAGCATATGCATCAGGAAAGGGAAGGAAAAACACGGAAATATAGAAAAAAAGAGTGAGAAGGCGCTCCATTGTTGCAAGAGTAGTGAGCTCTAGAACTATGGCCATGAATAAATAGCAATACTGGTCGCATGCATCCAATAACTTTGTGGAGCCAAATGATTTCGTGCTCCCGTGGGTGCAACTCTGCATTTTCTCCCTCCGAGCAAAAACAATGTTAGGGGTATATTAGGCAATCTTGTCAGCTTCACTTCACAGTCTTTTTCGATTAGGTGAGAAAAATGAAGTATTTTGATACTTCAGCCAATTCAGTAGAAGATTTCGGAATTTTTAAAAATTTAATATAAATAAATTAGATATTTATATATAAAAATAAAAAAAAATTAGAAAAAGAATTTAAAAAAATAAAAAAAAACGATTTTTGTATAGATATTTCATTGCTTAGTCCAAAGAGACCAAAGCTTTAGCCGAATCAGCCTGAAGTAGACCCGAATACGATCGAAGCGACTTGAATCTAACCGAAGTGACAACACCAGGCTTCGCTTCGTTTCGGTCCAAGCCTAAAGTCCGAAGGGTTCGAATGCTTCATCCTCTCTGGCCGAAGCAAAGACAATGATTTTAGGACCTCAAATTTGAGGTATGTATCCTTTTGCAACCTAGAGAGCAACTTAAAAATAAATAAATAAAATAAAAAGGGAAAAAAAAAATACCATCCAAAAATGGAACATGGGCCGTCCAATTTCTGGACAGCAAAATCTAACTGTTAACGACCCCAAAATCCCAATCCTTATTTAGAAAATAATCATATGATGAGTTTTAAATGGATTCCGAATTTTTATCTCAGGAAATATTTTCAAGTACGTTGTTAACCCAAGGGAGCAAATGGACAGTTTTCTCCAGCAGGAGGACAAAATATGGGGTCTCTTGTAGAAAGGGACTACAGTGGACTACAATGTTTAAAAAATGCGCAGGGCACAACTAAGCAGGGTTTAATTCGGATTCGACTCGATCGATTTTTGAGTGAGGTCCGACTTGGTAGGGCCGCCTCCGTCCATTATAGGTGATTTTTAAAACTGTGGACTTATGACTTAGTCGAAGACTCGAAGTATCAGGAAAACCTAAAGAATTTAAAAGCATAGAGATACTTGCAATCCTCTTTCTGATAGATCCTTGATAAATAAAATTATGTGAGAGTCATTGACTCTCTGCAAGTACTGAGAAGTGTTTGAGAAATTAAACTTCAAAGGAAACTTATATCGACTCTCATATGATAAAGGAAACATCATAATCGACTTATAAAAATAATAAGGGATTTTTCACTTGTATTAACATTACATCGATCAATACAGGAGGTAGCCTACCCCAGAAAAATATTTTGAAAAGGACTCTGCTAAGAAGAAAAAAAAATATAACATGAAAAGGACAATCTTGAGGAGTGACTTGGTCCAGGGGATTAAAGAAACAATACCTGGCAGGCAAAAATGTAAAGGATACAAACCTACCCATAAGTTTGAGAAAAGATTAAAATTTTACTAGAAGAGTGGATATACCATAACTAATGGAAAGAAGAAAGATATCAAATGAGAAAGACAAATTTTTAGGGGTTTGATAGGGCATGTGGATAGCATGAAGGGAACATATTTTTTTATACTATTTTACTCAGATTGAACTTTTGTCTCTACGATTAATTTCATTTTTTCCAACCCGATAAATTGACCTTACCTCTATATGACTCAAATAAATCAGCTCCATTAATGCAAATCATCTTCTTTCTCCCCTATTAAAAAAGAAAAATGGAATTTCACTGTGACCTATTTTCTTCTTCGTAAGGTTATCAAGGGCCACTTTGGGGCCAGTGGCCTAAAAACTAGGCCTTGGGCCACAACCCAAGGACCGGGCTAGGGCTTGGCAACCATGGCCTGAGGATAAGACTTGGTCAGGCCTGGGACAAGCCCGTGATAAGGGTGGCCCAGTTCAGCTTGCTCTAGCCCTTCACTTTATTTTCCTTGTTTTGCCCTTTTGTTTATTTTTTTTATTTAGTCAGGCCAACCCGGACACGATTTTGCCAAGGCCTACCAAGTCCTTGGGCCAAGACCTTGTCCAGCCCATGCTGGCTCAGGAGGGGCTCATTAAAAAATATATAAAATAATATGGTGAGTAAAAATTATGACTCTCTCTCTCTCTCTCTTTATGCTACGTGATTGATTATTTGGCATTCATTGAAATGAGTATATTATTTATACGATGGTTTAACTAACTCATAAAAAGTTGATATAACAAATTAAGTAAAAGGATATAATTGTGATTATATTTATTTAAGCTATAACAATATTAATACTCATGGAACAAATTAACTAATATTATATAAATTTTATTACTAAAGTTTTATATAGAAAATTAGATTATTCGTAATTATATCAATATTATAATTTTATTACTAATATTTAATAGTATTCATATCTATTTTATTTTTTTATATTATAATAAAATTTCACTATAATTGTAATCAAAATAATAGTTTGTAACCATTCAAACAAATATATATAACGATCGATATGTTATTAGAACAAATCAATAATAATAATTTTAATAACCTTAATTTTGGTACAAGACGCTTAACATAAATCCCTGATTTTTGTTGCTTCTGTTTTTGCTGTTGGATTGGCCATAGGACTTGCTTCTATTGAACCCAGAATTAGTCAAGATACTATTGCGGGTCAAGCAGTAGAGGGTATCGAGAGAAATTCAATAAGTAGCGTAGGCTTCAATGGACTTGCAATAGCGATTCTTACCAGCAATCCTAGCGACCTCTATGCAAGGCAGCAACATCATTGCCTTACAGTGTACGAGAGATAATCCGTTCGTTCCTCTATAGTCGCTTGCACCACGAGTAATTCACAGTTTACCATTGGAAAAAAAAATCACAATTTGCGTATTGTTTTTTCAGACCCAATCCCATATTTTTTTCTCAAGTTCCCATATTCTTTTCTCGGGTTCGGGTCTGGGTCCGGCCAAGCCCGACTCGTTGCCACCCCTATTTCTAAATGAATATTTACGAAAAAGAATATGTTCTTCTCTAGTTATCTTTCTGAAAATATTAGAATCTTTCTGAAAATATTGGAAGGAAAAAGATTCACCACAATAAAGAAAAATATTTACGTGGTTCATCTAGGAAGCCTACGTCCACGATAAGGAAACATCTCTCTATATTTTACTAGGATTACAAGAGGGTTTCCCTTAAATATATAGACATTTTATATTTGATAAAGATAAAAGGTGAATGGTAATCCCTTATTCACCGTGCTGCAAATATGGTAAGCTAGCCTAGTGCTGTAGATAAGGTAAGCCAATAATATTTTCTGGCTAGTCAACTTGACTCCTGGATTCTCTCAACACTCTCCCTCAAGTTGGTGCGAAAGTATTTATTGAGCCCAACTTGTCCAAAATCTGACAGAATCTTGACTTTGTTACACCTTTAGTTAAAATATCAGCCAATTGGTCTTCACTATAAACAAATGGGGTCAGAATAATTTTTTCTTGAACTTTTTCGCAAATGAAGTGACAATCCACTTCTATGTGTTTTGTCCTTTCATGAAATACGGGATTAGTTGCTATATGTATTGCTGCCCTATTGTCAAAAAACATATTCATAGGTAAAGAGATGTTAAATCTCATATCTCAAAGAAGAAATCTTAACCATGCAAGCTCACGGGTAGTTGAGGCCATAGCTCTATTTTCGGCTTCAGCACTAGAACGAGCAACTACATATTGTTTTTTGCTTTTGCAAGACATCAAATTTCCACCCACCGTAACACAATTCCCTGTAGTGGATCTTCGATCATTTGAATTATCAACCCAATCAGCATCAAAGTAACCACAAATATCAACATCATTATTGTTTTTCATCCATTTCCAGGGGGGAAGATTTTTATCAACAACTTCCAAGTGCCCTGTCCTAGGGGCATGCATGAATTGGCTAATCAATCCAACTGCATGAGCGATATCAATTCTGGTTATGGTTAGGTAGATTAATCTTCCAACTAGTCTCTAATAAAGTCGAATATCTTGCAATAATTCAACGTCCGTAGAAGAGATCTTATAGTTGTAATCGATGGGAAGTTCCAAAGGTTTAACTCCCATTGTTCCAGTTTCTTTCAGTAGTTCTAGAGCATATTTTCATTGAGACAAAAAAATTTCTTTATTTGAGTAGGCCACTTCAATTCCGAGAAAATATCTGAGTTGTTCCAAATCCTTAATATTAAATCTTTTATGAAGATAATTTTTTAGGTTTGAAATTCCCTCTTAGTCATCACCAGTGATGACAATATCATCAACATAGATGAGAACAATCACTGTTCTACTTTTACCCCTTTTTGAAAACATAGACGAATAAGAAGAACTTTTATGAAAGCTGACATTAAGCAAAGCTAAACTGAGCTTAGCGTACCAAGCCTTTGGAGATTGTTTTAACCAATATAAAGCTTTTTTTAACTTACATACTAGATGAGCTTCCCTTTGTGGATGACCAGGAAGAAGTTTCACGTAGACTTCCTCCTCAAGATCACCATGCAAAAAGGCATTTTTAACATCTATTTGGTATAACATCCATCCACAGTTTACAGCAACAGAAAGAAGAGCACGAATAGTAGTCATCTTAGCAACTGGTGCAAAGGCTTCTTTGTAGTCAATTACATAAGTTTGAGTAAAACCTTTTGTAACCAGTCTTGCTTTATGCCTTTCAATAGATCCATCATTGTTATACTAAATCTTAAAAATCCATTTCCACCGAATAGGTTTTTTTCCAAGAGGAATATGAACAAGATCCCAAGTTTGATTTTTATCTAATGTAAGCAAGTCCTCTTTCATAGCCTTTCTCCATGTAGGATCCAAATTTGCATCATGAAATGAAGGAGGCTCAATGTTTTCAAAAATGGAACTCAAAAAAGCTGAATATTTGGAGGAAATTTTATTATAACAAATTTAATTTTGAATAGGATGGGTGAGTGCATGATAAGTAAAGAAATCATTTAATTTAAAAGGGGCACGGATTAAACTAGTTGGCCTGCACAAAGGAGGATCAAGAGAAGAAGGGTCAAGAGACCGGATCACGGGGTCTTCATGGCTTTCAACAATGGGGTTTTGACCTTTAAGCACTATCAAACAAATTACTTTGATTTTCCCCCTCATTTGTATTTTCCTTCACATCTAATTTCCCATATTTAATGATTCTCTTTACATTCCCATCATGAATAGGCATTGCCACATTATTAATGTTTCTAATCTCCCCCTGAATCTTTTTGTCAAAAACTCCAGTTGGACTATCTTGAAAAATGATTCATTTTCATTGAAAGTCACAAATCTAGAAATGTATAATTTCTTTTGTTTGGGATCGTAACACTTGTAACCCTTTTTGGTTGACGAATACCCAAAAAAACCACATTTGATAGCCCTTGCATCAAGTTTATCACGAGTTTGCCTAGATACATGAACATAACTGATACATCCAAACTTTTGCAAATGTGAAGTATTATATTTTTTTCCTGTTAAGACTTCAAGAGGAGACTTATTTTGAAGAACACTACTGAGAAGTCTATTAATGAGATAACACGCAATGAGCATGGCGTCGGGCCAATAAACATTAAGTACATTAGTTTTTCAAACATTATAGATCTTAAGACTTCAAGAAGATGCATGTTTTTTCTCTCAACTACCCCATTATGTTGAGGTGTTCCTACCCAAGATATCTGATGTATAATGCCAATAGAAGTAAGAAACTCATTAAAACTCTTATTAGTATATTTCGTGCCATTATCTGACCGAAATATCCTAATTTTGGCCGTTAGTTGGATTGGAAGGAAGGCATATACAAAACTTGAGAATTACAGGATTCTAGAAAGAAATTTGTTTTTCCAATTCCATGGATAGGAACCATTGAGCCATTTGCAATTGACACTGGAGTTTTATTGGCCACTTCTTGAAAATTAGATAAGTATTTTAAGTTTCCAGTCATGTGGTCAGTGGCTCCAGAATCAATAATCTAAATAAGAGTATCTAAACTTGTAGAACTTAAGTAGGCAAATGAATTACCTAGATCATGAGAAAAATCATGTGTAGAAGATGAGCTATACTTACCAAGTTCCTGTAAAACTTGGGTTAACTGTGCAATGGAAATGTGCGAATCAACATTAGCGTCCTGAGCAGTAGGCCTATCAATTGGCTTTTCTCTAAGAGGTCTCAAATGAGGGTAAAGAAGCCAACACCTGTTTTTTATATGTCCAAGGGCCTTACAATGGTCACATCTAGGTGGTGGTCTACTGCCACGTCCCCTATCACGATCAGCCTTTCAAAGTTATTTGAAGTCATGTTACTACTTTCGGGCTTATGTTTAGAGGCAACGATGGCAGATTTTTCAGAATTGTCAATCTCATTCTTAGTTGCGAGATTCATGACCTTTTTCCTTGTTTCTTCTCTCAAAAGAGTGGCCACAACATCAGAAAAACTCGGTAATGCGTAGGATAATAAAATATGGCTTCTTACTTGTTCATATTCTAGTTTAAGAGCAGCTAAAAACTGAAACACTTTATCTTGTTCAACCCTCTTATGAGTTATAACAATGTCAGTGCTAGTGGGACAATATATGGAAAACTCATCCCACATAGGTTTCATTTTCCAAGCAAATCAGTGATAGATCTATCGTCTTGTTTAACTCGAGAGATTTCATGTTTTAATTGGAAAACATGAGATATATTATTTTGCTGCGCATATATTTCTTTTATAGAATCCCACAAGTGCTTGGCATTATCATAATTTACAAAAGCTTCTGCTATATTATACTCCATAGAATTTAAAAGCCATGACATAACAAACGGGTCTTTGGATTCCCACTCTTCAAAACCATGATCATCTGCTTTTGGAGGCTCTTTTTTTTCTAGTAATATATCATAGTTTTGATCTTTCATTTAAAGCCATTGAAGCGGTCCTTGACCACATACAATAATTCAGGTGATTCAAAGGAATAGTGGTGAGTTTTCTGATGGTGTTTCACTCGGATTCATGCACAATTGTTTGAGAAAATTCAGAGTGTTTACCGTCGTATGATTAAAAAAGAAAAGAAGGCAAAGTACATTCAACCGAAGGGCTTTAGAAAATTTGACCTCAAATCCTCTCCCCTCACGTGTGCCTTTTCATGTGCTTGAAGCTTCACACGTGTCACGTCCTACGGACAACACCCGTGTGAGTCAAAGTTCCTCTCCCTCAACTGATTTGACCCAACTTGTTCGTCAAAGTTCCTTTCCCTCAAAAAAGGAACGCAAGAGATGGAGAGAGTGAGATTTGCCCCTTTTAAAACAAGAAGGCAAGAGATGGGGCAAGGCAAAAGGGCCGTGGAACCAAATAAGAGATTCAATGAAGGGCCGGGCCGGGCTAGACTTCTCCTCTCTTCCAAAACCCCCACCCCCAAGAGCACATGACATGGGGTGGGTTCATTTGTGCTAACACGAATCTCCTGAAGGGCAGGGCAGGGCAGGGCAAAGGTGGGACTTTCGGACCAAGAGGGTGGTTTTGAAGACACTCCTAGCCTGTGAGATTCGCAGACCAGATGTTGGAGTGAAAGGAGGAGATCTGCGAGTGGGCCTTCGTTTATCTTACTGGATTGAGCGGGACTCTTTACTTTCTCTCAGTAGAGCAGAGGCCCAAAACAAATAAAAAATAAAAAAAATTTCTTTCGTCGGCAGCGTGATTCCAACAGGGGATGGCAGCAGATGTATTGCCTTTGTTCTGATACCATGAAAAATATTGGAAGGAAAAATATTCACCACAACAAAACAAGAACATTTACGTTCTTACGTGATTCGGTTACGAAGCCTGCGTCCACGATAAGGAAACCACTCTCTTTTAACGATAAGGAAACCACTCTCTTTTAAATTGCTTGCTTGCTTCTGTCACCGCCTTACGAACGAACGCTACAAGGACTTTCCTCGACGGAATTTCGAATTCCACACGGTTTTTTCGATTGGGATCGGGGTGTCCACAACTAAATTATATTATTATAATATGATATTATATTCATTTGATAATATTATTATATAATATTATAGTATATAATTTATGGGGGACGTATCTTCAGGGCAAAGGCAATCCGAACAATGGACACATCTTCTCAGATGTTATCCAAAACTGCAAATACCTATATTCCAAACTGAATACTCCGAGGAAGTTCCGCGGGCGGTGCTAAGCACTTTCTTTTTTCTTTTTTCTAATGATGAAGCGTGTCTTGTTTTGTACATCATTCGTTTTTTTTTTTCTTTTTTTGACAAGCAACTTTTTTATTGAAATAAATAAAACATAAATTTTAGTGAGAGCCTTGCCAAGGCCTATACAATATCTGTTCTAAAATCTTCCATGGCAAACTCCTTTCAAAAAATAAAGGGAATGCATACTATGATTCATATAACAAAATCTACAATCATGACTGTAGTAACAAGATGACAGTACAATTCCCCAAGTCCAAAACAGGCCACTGCGTCTTTGGGGAAAAGCACTAAGGATGGCTAACCCCCATTTTTCTGGCTTTAGAGGAATGCTTCCCATGCCAATTCCATCATGTTTTAGCGTTTCTTACAGTCACAATAATATTTCATTTGATAAGATATCTTAGCCAAAACCATTAATTCACAACATGCTCAACCCCATGTACTTGTAATGGACTCTGGCAGAGGAACAACTTCAATTATCCCTTCAAGCATCAAAGTCACCATTTTCATGGATGGCCTCATAGAGGGATCATCTTGAATGCACCACAATCCCACCTTAACCATCCTCTCTACCTAATTCAAATCACTCAATGCTTCTTCATCTCCTTCCACTAGCTCATGCACCTTTCCTTCATAAAAGCAATCGTAGACCCAATGAGATAAGATCACTCGCCTCTCGTTGTCCTGACCTAAATCCATCCTCCTGCAACATATGATCTATCCCGAAACCGTAAACATCCACCTTTGCTGTGATTGACACATTTCAAAACCACTCTAGAGCTACATAGCCCCTTGTCCCCCTAAGAAGTGTTTCAGTTCGAGTTTGGCCGTGTTGCAAGACTTTTGTCAATCCAAAGTCAGCGATCTTTGGGGTATTGGACTTGTCAATGAGTATGTTTCGCAGCTTAATGTCGCAGTGTATGATTGGGGATTCACACTCTTCATATAGATACATGATGCCTCTTGATATCCCAAGTGCCAATTCAATCCGTTCACCTCAACTCGACCTTGTTGACCCGAACAGAAAACTTGCTAGAGTACCATTTTGCATGAATTAATAGATGAGAACTCTATGATCTCCCTCATCACAAAAACCTAGTAGCCTAATCAAAATCTTGTGATATGTCGTGCCTATCACACTTAGTTCGTTTCAAAACTACTCCTCTCCTAGCTCTGCTACCTTATCCAATGGCTTGACAGCGATATCTACTTGGATTCCAAAATCCGGTACCCCTTTGTACACAGTCCCGAAGGAGCCATTTGTGGCATCTTTTAAATGTGTGTATTTGAATGATAACAAATTAGACATTAGATTATTCTCGGCAGGCTCATTACTGATTGGGACCCATCTAAACCCTGCTCTTTTCCTAAGATTACAGACAATAACTACCATCGTGAGTAGGAAAAGAATCAAAGACGAGCCTATGAGAAAACCACCAACTAAGACCAAGCTTTGGCTACTGTTGCCTCTCTTGATTTTGCTATTCCCATTTGTCGCAATTTTGAGAGAACCTTTACCCCAAGTGTGCGATCTTGTCGGCCATCAAGCAAAGGCATCCTCTTTTTAAAACATGATGAGCCTCTGTAAATGGCAACATCACAGGCACGGTCATCCATGCAAGAATGCTTGCACCTTTCTTCATCTGTTACCTGCATTTCATAGTCTCCAAAAGGCCAGTCAACATCCTGTAGTTCCATGGAGTAATTTGAAATGATCCATAATCTCCCGAGTAATCTACAGTGAAATCCTTTTCACACCCACCAGAGCAGTTGTTGGGGTCACGAAAAGAGAAATTATCTGGGCAGAGGCACTTAATCTTCGCATTTTGGTCCAAAATACAATGACTATTGATTCCACAAATGCTTGGAACAGCACAAGCATTTATGTTATTCGGAACACTCGAGACAACAGTCCATGATTGGCCACCTGAGGAACTTTTCCTGTGAGAGTATTGCCGAAAATATCCATTACTATCGAGTGTAGCTCTATGATAATAATCATCAATGGGACTTATTACAGTGGAAGAAACAGTGTCAATAACATCATTAGTTGAGTTCAAGAGGTAGATAGCTCCTGCAGTATTGAATAACATATTAACTGGAGGTTGTGTTCCGGCTGTTCCTGTAAAATAATATGCTCCATCAGGGGAAGGGAGAATTCGATCTCTTGGGTAGAGAACAAGATTACCATCATTTTGCATAATTAGCATGAGTCTACCAGTTCCATAATTCCCATCCATGAGAGTGGAGTTTAAAGCTTTGCCTTGGCCTAAGGTTTGGCCTGGTAACAAAGTATCGGTTGGATAGTTAAAACTCTGCCATATTACAGAAGAACTGGAGTCCACAAGTACAAGATTACCAGTATCAAGCATCGATGCTGAAGTGGCACTTACGGATCTATTGTAAATCCAGTTTTGTTGGCCTAGTGAATCCATGAAACCCAGCATACCATAAAGGGTTAACCGAATTGTCAATCCATTCTGTACTGGTTGATCTCTATTGGCTGCCCAAACTAGGGTCCTCTCCGATATCTTATTGAACCAAATTCCAATAAGGAACCGGTCACCCCAATCGAGTAAAATCCAAATGCAAAGTCCCCAGAAGGAGAAACCCAGTACGAGTTGTTTGCTGAGGAAGAGGAAAGGGTGGTTCCTAGAGTCATGTTTCTATAAGATTGAGCATAAACATGAGGAAGAGGAAGGAGAGCAAGAAAGAGAAAGCAAAGAAGAGTAAGAAGACTGGCCATTATAGAGGGAGTTGCAGGCACAAAGGTATCAGATGCAGGAACCATGGTGCAGTCAAGGACTTGCCAACCTCCGTTTTAAAGGGTTCTAGCCTAGAGCTCAATTAGAGAAAACTTGTTGCAACAAGCTAAACAGAAAACAAGATCCTATTTGTTAGGTGCCCTTAATGATAAACAAAGGTGGAGAGGCAAACCAGGGAGCTTGCTTTGGAGGAGGAAATAAAAAACAATTTATTTAATCATAAGAGAGTTCCAAGTCAATATGAAAAAGGCAACTAGCAATTGACTGGTTAAAGAAAGGTAGATGAAGCCATTTAGAGGGTCTAATTCAGCCGTCTTCTTATTTTATTGTGCCACACAAAGCCTGGATGGTAAACACCATAAATTTTATGCCATGGGAGCCAGTTTCAATAACACTGGATCCACTACCACAGAAAAAGGTGCGTGGCCAAACTAGATCCAATTTTTAACATATTGAAGTTTAGAGAAATTTATGCATCTGCCATAATTTTAAACAGGTTTTAGGCGAAATGCATCCCGAATCACTGAAAATCCATCTCTGCCCCAAATCCATGAATTTGGAGCTAGTCTCTCAAGATTTGAAATGAACAGGCAAAGACAAGGTACAAGATATACCATTTTTAATCTAAAAAAACAAATTTTTTCAAATTCATTATCATGGTGGTAGTTGGATGATAGATGATAGCCCGGTAATGTTTTAGGATTGAAAATCCATGGCAAAATGGAACTAAGGAAGGTAGATTCAGTATAAGTGTATGCCTAAGACTCACTCAACCCTAATGATTGATTTTTCTTCAAAATTTCATTTGATTTATTATTACTTATATGTTGAGTTTTCAAAGTTGCTTTTTTTTTTTTCTATCGAATTTTTTCCTTTGTCGACATTTTTATTGATATAAGAAACTATGTATCCTCATGCATGTTCTATTCTACATGTTGGAAATTGAGAGGGTTGTTTGGTATAGGTAAATGGTACACATGCTGAATCGAAAAAAAAAACTCAGTAGTTGTCAGCGTCTTTATTAGAGCCTTATCCCAATTATTTAAAAGATAATAATAATAAACAAAAAAATTCAATAAACAAAAATTTCAATGAACAAAAATTTCAATAAACAAAAGTTTCAAGAAAGACTTTCAATCATGCCAAATTTTTACAACTGAATTCCTTAAAGATTATTTATCCTCAATCAAGTGAAAGGAGTCAGAAGACCATGTAATAAACAAAAAAGTAAGTTGCTTCTTGGAAGTTCACAAAGACAAAATCTAACCATGTAGAGTTAAGACTCATGGACAGGTAGCTTTCCACTCCTCGGCTCTTTCTAAGGGTTAGATTGGAGCAAGATGAACCATTTACATTGATAAACTATAACAACTTACATTATTTTTCTTCTCCAAAAATTATAAATTAGATTTATGACAAATAGAAACATGCGTAGGGATTTTCCATGTAAAATCATCTGAATTTAAGTTCTCTCTTCTTTTGTTGCATCCATTTTTGCTTTCTTGTTTTCTATCCTATTTTAAAAAGATCTGTAGGTTTTCTTTCTCTCCAAAAAAACTTCTTGATTCCTTCCCTCTTACATCCGTCTAGAATTTTCAAATAAAATTTGCTTTCATATTTCTCCACCTCAAACTATGTATCCACCTCTTTTTTTGTTTGTTTACTTTCAAATAAAATATGCCTTCATATTTCTCCACCTCAAACCATGTATCGATCTCTCTTTTTTTGTTTGTCTACTGAAGATGTAACTTTTATGCACATTGTTTAGTTCTCAGGAACCCCTTAATAGAAACAAAATTCACACAAGATAGGAAAGTTTATTACTCTTTTCTTTTGAGATGTGAATGTAATGAGATGGAAATTGTATATTGCATGTAACAAGATAGGAAAGTGGTAGGAAATTATTACTTTTGGATCTGACGCAATTGCCCTATTATAGGGTTGTACGATAATTATTTTTTCTCATTTAATTAATCAAAAACAAGTAGGGGCCTTCTCCCCCACTGAATTATCAAAAAAAAAAAATGTATATTACACCATTGTATTATTATTATTATATATATAATGAAAAAACCACCACAAAAATTATGTGGGGCACAATTACTTTTTCAAAGTGTTCATCTCACTCTCTCTTGAGCTCGAACCTAGGACACTTGGAGCTCAACAAGAGTCAATAATTAATAAATCACGAATTTCAAATACAAGGATCCCACCCAATTTCATGTAAATAGTTGGCTAGTTGCAAAATACGTGAGTATAACAACAAAAAAAGTATAAGAAATATAAAAAACACAAAAGGAACTTACATGATTCACCTTAAGTGAGTTACATTCACAGTCCCAACAAGACAAAATCTACTATCACAATAGCAATTCCATTTTTGGATCACAAGAGATATAAATTTCTCTAAATATCAGAAAACCCCTCTTTGATATTCCTTTCTAAGCTTGCTCTCCTGATAAAAATTATTGTTGACGAAACTTCTCTTTACCATAATTATACCATTACCGGTAAAAGGAACCTTGAGGGCATCTAATAGACTTTATCTCTCTAGAAGTAAAAAGTGACCAACCGAAGTAAACCTCTCCTTGGTAGCTATGCTTCACTAATAGCTCTAGGAGGCCCTCTCTCTCTCTCTCAACCAACCATTCTTATAACCTATAATAGGGTGATCCCTAATGGGATGAGCCTTATGTGTTCCTTGATCTCCTTTTATAAAGAAAAATTGCTTCATGCGGGTTGGACCGCATTTCTAAATATGCGGTCCAGAAAGTGTGAAGGATTCATCTTAAAGATGGATGCAAGTAGGTGTTCCATCTAAAAACAATGGAAATTAACGGTCCAAATATTTTTTTTACTAAAATTATTATTTTTAGTTTTTAAAATTTATTTATTATTCGTATTCATGATCTTCATGTTAGAGATTACATGTCTTTAAAAATGAAGTCTTAAAATCCATCTCAAAAATAAATTACTTAAGAGGCCCATATTTCTACATATGCGGGCTTGGCCGCATAGAAACCAAGTCCTTAAAAGAAACCAATAAGTCCTATTTCATCTCAAGAATATTCCTTTTGGTTAGTCCTAACATTATGGTGCATTTGGTATGGTGATTTAGCTATCACTAGCCTTAACATTATGAAAATGCTTTCCCATAGTTTTGCACAAGCAAAGATGCTATTCAAGAAAGTGCTTTAGAGTTTTCCATTAACCATGTATACAAAAGTAACCGTTCGCATCAATATCTCTATTAAAGAGAGATATTTCTCTGAAAACAAACATGACCTTATAGTCCTAGTACTTGGTTCACCATCATCGTCATAATTTTTTTTTCAACTATTTGAAGTCGGCTACATCAATCTTAGTCCGTCATTATGCTCTGTCAACAGCTAGATGCTGTTGTCCTAGTACTTGGATCAAGCTCTATTTAAAAGGTCCTATGAATGGGCCTTCTCGAATACTTCATAATTCCACCATCCCAACTTGTTTCAAATCGCTTAAACTTCTTCACCCCCATCATCTAGAGCGAAATTTCGCTGCTATAATAAGTAAAATAACTTATCAATCCAAATCATTAAAAAAATAAAATTGGGTCCTCTTGGCTTCATTGCCCATAAGTGATAATGACCACACTTTTGCCAAAATGGTGTGGTCTACCTCACGCTATAGTGTAACCTTTTTTTATGGAATATTTAGTTTAGGGTGCAGTTTTTATAAGGTTGCAACCTTAAACAATTTAATTAAGGCGCACCTCCAAATTTTAACATAACATATGATTTTGGTATAAGTACTTCTTAGGATTTCCTTAAAATCTATTTTTATATCTAATTATAAAATTCTAAACTCAAAAAATGGTCAAAATCAAGTAGATCATATAAAAATCTTGAAAACGAATGGTCTAGATAATGTGTTGCAAGATGCATTATTTTTAGGACTCAAAATCTTTTTTTTTTTTCATATTCATATGTCTCGATGTCGAGCTAATCAATTAGGGGATTTTTCAACATTAAAATAACTTTTTTTGATGGATTTTTGAAGTGCATATATAGTTCCACATTTTAAGGTTGCAGCCATATATAAACTTTTCCCTTCAGTCTAGGAATGTATATTATTAGATCATTTTTTTGTTTTTTTTGTACAAGGAGATCACATTTATTTTTAGCCATTAAATGTAAAATCTAATAGATGAAAGTATTTCACAATATTTGATAAATTTTATTTTGGACTTTATGCCTAAACAATCACGCATCATTAACCACCTGATTTCAAATCTAACTACCAATTCTTATTGTAACCTCCTTGTATCAAAAGTAAATGATTTGTTGTATACTTTTTGACACAATATAAAATTTACCGATGAATACCACTCCGGCAAATTAACTGTGTTTTAAGAGAAAAGTAAAAATCATGAAAGAAATCTCAAGAAGAAAAAGTAAAAAACGAAAGATACGAGTATTCCGGCATGAGCCCATAAGCACAAGAGAAAGAAACACACCTACAAAAGATCTCTCTCCAAAAAAACAATTTCTTTATTAATCAACATTATTTCCCCAATTATAATGCGTGTAACCCTTTTATGGAAGGGTTCTCTTCCAATAACCTTCTAA